TATATCGTAATTGATGATATTATCAAAGAATCGCAACGGCAGCTCTTTGAGATCCCAGCCCTGTGCCTCCTCCTTGACGCACCATCCTCGCTCTTGCATCTCACATGAGAGAGGCACAATGATTGACTTGTCCGCCCCTACGACTAATGAAGGATGTATCTTCAATGTTAACTCACCTTTGGCCATTTTCCTACCAGCATTGTGTAGAGAACGATGCCGAGAGCATACCAGTCTGCTGCGTACGAATCGTACGGTTTGTAGACTGTTATTTGTGGAGCAGAGTATGGCCTCGTACCACAGAAAGACCGCGACCTGGTGGTAAAATGCCATTTATTCATCAGTTGAGCATCCCGTTTCCAAAAACTAAAACATAACCCCGAATTAGGAACTACTTTTTGGGCTTCTACTAGTCCGACGCACCGGGTGTTGGGTATAGGCTACAGGGTCTTCTTAGGATGAACCTGTGCGAGTGTTCGGACAGGTCGCGCCCGGAGCGGTGCACTTACACTCTAAATCCCTGAGATGCGGTAAGCGTGACGGGGTATTTGGGTTGAACCTGGGGTAGCTGAGCTTTCCGTGGTAGTATTTTCTTATTGGGGCACTTGTAATCATGTCTTTGTCACAGAATAAAATGGCCAGTTGTCCCAAATCGAAATGTCCCAAGAGGAACCAATTCTATGCCGTGTTTGCACGCGACGCCTACTCCGTCTCAGAGATGAGGAGTGTGGATGGCGTCTGTTCGAAGCTACGACCATGAACTACAGCACATCTACAGTCATTACCGCCGAAGCTAGTAGTTCCGTGCTAGCCGCATGTGAGTTTCAGCGCACCGCCAGCCCCTGTCCCACTGCTCATTGAACGACCGAAGCCGTAATGATGAAAAATGGGCTGGCGCTGCGCCGAACCCATGCCCCGCCGACACACTCAGACTGTCTTCAGTGATAACGACTGAACGTGCTCTGAACTTCACCCCAACCATCTGGTTCGTTCCCAATATTGTAAACCAACTACTGAACTGCTGATCACGTCGTAGTCACCGTCCTCTAGTTGAAAGTCAGGCTCCGGCCGACATCAAGTTCAAAGGTGTCATCCTCATAGATGTGCCAAGCGCTTCTTTCATGATTAAATCCCAAGTGAGCCTTAGTATGTACAGTAAAGTGGCTTATGAGGAACGAGACGCAAATAACATCTATGAGTGGATTTCTCAGGTCTTATTAGAGGATGAGCAAGTGTCTTCCGTAGACGGCAGAGGCGATGGAGATGGCTGGGACGATTTGAAGGCACATCTCACGTTTAAAGGCAGCGCCCGCGTTCATTTGTTGTTCTCACGCCCTCTCTGGACCTAGTAGCTCCCCCTATGAGGATGGTGGACGTGCATGTTAACCCAAAAATGCGACGGAACAGCGGCTCCGCCCGCAAACGCCCACCTGCCGACCACGCCACCCAACTTCATTTCTAATGGTTGCCTGATGGTGCGGTTGTTCCATTGCTGCTTCTCTCCACGTGGAGTGGTGAGAGTGAGGTGATAAGGGAAAACAGCTGATATGAACAAGTGGAAACTCGTGCAATCACTCCTTCTCTTCGCCTTAAGCACGTACAACCGTTGTTCGGTATGAAACTCCTTCTAGGGCATTTTGCGTGTTTTCTCTTTGATTTTTCTTCACTAATAGGCTTCTTGCTACCTCGCTGTTACTACCTGAGCCGCATACTCATTAAATTTGAACGTGCCTTTAATTATAAGAATCAAAGCTCTATGAGTTTCGCCATGGATCACCTTGGACCAGCTTGTAGGACTCAGAAAATTGTAATTTGGGGCAGTCAGGGCGCGAAAATCTCCAGTAGCACCCGCAGAGCTTGTAACTCCGCCCCGTGTTGGTGCCCTCAATCTCTCTCTCATTTACGTGCTCTCTCACTGCTCTTGTCTCGCCTCTCGCTACAACACTTCACCTCTCACCTAAAAATGGAGGCCCTTATTTGAGGCGTTTTTGACGGTTGTTCCTGTTTTTTTTTCTTCACACCCAAGGGACCTAACAAAGCGTTTCTGCGCGTGCTCTCCAAGGTAGCGGGGCACGATTGCTGGAGGCGAGCGTTTGCTATCAGCGTCACTAGTGCCACTAGCTTTGGGTTGGCCATGCACCCACACGACCCTTCTACCAATGACGTTGGTGAGAACAGCCCGCCTCCCACAATTGCGCACACTCCTTTAAGAATGCTGTCCGTCATCCTGGGAATGCGTACGCATGGAGCGGATGTCCGACAGACCAACAATCCGATAAAGGTATCCGCCAAGATTCATCCTCGTCTCAGGATATTTCTAAACCGCGAAGCTCCTCTACTCCTTCTTTTTTCCTTCTTTCTCCTCTTTTTCCTCTTCTTAATTTCCCTCTCTTCAAATGCTGGGCCAAGATGCGATAGGAAATTACCTCAGGATCTCGCAGCGAGAAATGTCCGGTTCACAGAAACCCTGTAACCGTATACCCCCCCCCTTTGCAAGAAGCTGACATGTCTTGTCGCTTTATTGGTAAGCCATTAAGGTTTATAAATTGTTAACTAAAGTTTCGTTAGTATTTGTATATCTTCTGTATTACCGTTCTCGTCGAGCAATAAATCGGGCAAATCCAAAATCGGCCAGTTTAGCGTCACCGTTGGCGTCAATGAGAATGTTCTCGAGTTTGATGTCTCTGGAAAGAAGACGAATCGCAAGGATTTTTCAGGATAGACCTATCTCACCGGTGGACGATATTTCGTTCGTGCAGGTAATGGACAGCTTCCATGAGTTGACGAAACATGCGCACTCCTTGTGGAACTTCTGAATAGATGACTTCTTGAACTCAAATTTAGAGAGAGATGTGTCTGCTTTGAAGGTTAGACTGCTCTGAAGTTCAACCATGGCACACTCCATATTCAAGAAATGAAGTGGGCGTGGCTGCGTACTTCGTTTGAACATGGCGTAAATTCGTTCCTCGTTGGATAACTCTATTCGATACAGCTGTCATCCTGTCTTGAACTGGACAAGGACACTACATCACAACTGTTCCTATAACAAAAGACTTCCAGAAGCGCAGCAGCTACCAAGATCAAATGAGGTATGCAGCCACGCCCTCCCCATCTCCGGGGTGTGGAGTGTATACAGTGAACTCCCTCCGAACAGAAATGACGCGATGCGGTGTAGCCCCCTTCCAACTACATTTGTCCGAGTCTGCGGAAACCTTGTTCAGATTCACCTTTCAATCGTTGCTCTCTCAGAATCAGTTCGAGTAGCGTTCCTTTTTCGTAGTACTCCGAAACGAGTACAATTTTTGAGCTGGATGGCGCAAGTACAGAAAGACATCGTGAAAGGTGCGGGTGCCTTACCTGAAAGTGTTGCATTAGATCTACAGAATGGTGATAAATCAGTAGAACACTGTAAACATGCCTTGATCGTGATGTCTAGCTCCCGCGGTAGGAATTTGTCCGCAATTGCAGGCGGCAGCGCTTTCTTGTTGATGATTTTCACTGCTACAGTACCGCGGTAACTGGAATAAGCAGTGACATAGGGTGGCTCTTGGTGACTATAAGGTGCGGGTCAGGAGATCCGAGTTGCGGCGTAGGAAGCCGTATGCGTGGCGCTCCAAGGATCTAATTGATTCAGACCGAAAAGTCGAGGAAACTAGCGCGCCCTGCTAGTTTCTGCGATTCATCACAACCCGGACCATCTGATCCGCACTCTCTGGAACTTACAATTGCGAGAAAGTACGGATAAAGCGAATGACGGTGACAGCTATCGGACTCTCGTTGAGGGGAGCGTAAAGGACCTCACGTAACCTGAACTTCCGGAAATAACAATCCTTTACAGGAAGTAGTACACTAGCCGTGCTGACTGTGGAAGTAACTGTTCCGTGGATGGCGACACGGTAGCCGGAATGCTCACAGCCATAATCGTTGATGATAGTAGTAAATGAACCTCCATCTACCTCAGGCTGTTAGCATTGATAAGGAACTTACCTGATGAAAAACAAGCAGTCAGACAAGGAATAAGATTTTTGTCAAATGATACGGAAGCCACTTTCAGTTGTGATCGATTATTGTTATCTTGTTAACAGACAGACCTTTCGGCTTTCCACAAGAGCGGAGAAAGGGCTGACGCCGTGACAAACCTAGCCTCCTGCCACGCCCCATCATTCGCAGCAAATAAGACTGCGGTCACGAATGTACAAGGGGGGCCCAAAAAAGTCACTTCGACCGAGTCACATATCAGCAAAGTTTTCGCTGCCCAGACAGAGGACGTGGATACGAGTACCAGGGCGGAAGATACCCAAGATGTTCCTCGATAAGCAGGAGCTGGCTCTCGCCCATCACCTTCATGTACACCAAAATATGAAGTCATCTCCAGTCGCAGCCTGACTGGAGAAGACCTTTGGAATTTCACGTCACTTCCAGAGCAGCGGGCGCAAACTTTTTGTATGTTCGCATTCACCGAATGGATAGCGACATGGAGAGTTAGTACTCTCGATCTGGGATGACCGTCAAATCGAGGCAGCTTCTTTGAGGAACGTCGCCGCGGTTCTAGGACATCATCTTCACCACAGTCGCCAAGGCGCGGTTTGGTGGTATGGACCGAAAGTTCCTGGAATGTAAAGACCGATATTTTCTTTGTGGGCCTCGGACTGGAAGTGAGCGCTGACGCTTACATCGACCAACTCGAGAAGCCGATATGTGCCATCATTTCTCCCTGTAACATCTGCAAACTTGGGTACTGCTACTAGGATGGGTTCCAGCACGTGGAATCAACAGGGCTTGTTGACAAAAACCCTCGCCTTACTTGGAATGGAGGGGGAGCGGCTGAGTACATAAGGAAGATTGGAATATCAACAGGTCACCTGACTGAATCCCCTCAGATTACCGGTTCGGCGGGTTCAATAGGGTGGGTCTACGGTTCGCGGAAATTCTATTGTCTCGCTTGATCTTCCAAGGTGAACACATCGCGGTCGCGTGCCAGAATCTCTCGATGGCGCTCGTCCAGAAGGCTGTGGCGGAGTGTCATGATAGTATTTAATATGCTCTTTAATATGGTGGTAAAATGTCCGGTCATTCAATAAAGTGTAACGGGTGGTAACGGAGAGCCGGTCGTCCGCGCGCGCGCCGAGATTGCCATTGGAGGCGGCATCGGCTGTAAATGCCAGCCCACACCGTGCGATGGCGGAGCGCGTTCTTGCGTGGGTCGCGCAACTCGGTCAGTTTATTTCATGTCTTGCGTTGACCGTCTTGCATCACCTACGTTGCAGTGCGCCAATGGAACGGACCGATTTGCGTTGCGAAAATCTCCTACTCAACCATTTTCGTCCGTTTTTGAACGATTTTTTGCCCTCTTTCGCCTCGACATCCCTTACTTATAGCTACTTAGAAGTGGTTATATCGGGAGCACTTTTGAGTTCTGATATATCTTACTTCGAAGCAGCTTTCAGTAGACAATGAATGGTACTTCGAGTGGTAACTTCGGTTTTTTAGTGGACATAAATTTGTGAAACAAACTATTGCTGTCTACACTTCAGTCTACCCTTCCACTGTTTCACCCAGCCGGCCAAAATTTTTTGTCACCAGTGAATTTGGCTACAGCTCTATCCCCAAAATGAGCGTGCCCAAGGGGTAAACTAACCTTTTTTAAAAGTTTCCAAAAATTGTGCCAACCCTCAAGCGATGCATTTTTGAAGAACTTCACCACTGTGAAGCTAGCTAATGTCGGATGGTAGGTTGCATTTCTCGTTTAAATTTTCGGAGCGACGATTGTTGAGTAGACAGCAAATTCGGGCTGCAACAAAGAAAACAGCCTTTTACCTGGTGAGTTAATTTCACTTGTGTTCCATGAGCCTTGAGAATTGCTGAGCTACAGCCTTTTTTATACTTTACCTCGATTGATGACCCTTTTACACTTACATATTTGCGAGTTGGAACTGGCATTCTGACCTTTTCAAAGGATGATGTCCTCTCATTTATTACTGCCACAGGGGAGTACTGAAGGTGGCCGACTCTGACGTGCTTATTTGCTATGCCAGTGGAGACATCCAAATCTAGGCAAGCAATGACAGCTGACTAACGAACAGAAAAAATTGAATTTTTGAGTAGTTTGGTAAATTTAATCAATACTAGTTGTAGTGAGAAACCAAACAAGAGGTCATTGTAACTATAGCCCGAGTGTGCACAGGGAAGAACTTTTTCATAGCAATGATAACAACTTTTCTGATAAACTCTCACCTGAGTAAAGTGAACTGGAGCTCTACCGACGCAGCAGGAGCGACTCAAAAAAACTGGAAGTGTTTTGACAGTTAGTGGATAGATCAGAGCTCAAAAGTACTCTCGATATAACCACTTCTAAGTAGCTACCCAGCATAAAGAAATGTCGGGCGAAAGAGCGCAAAAATTGCTCAAAAACCGACGAAAATGGTTAAGTAGGAAATTCGCACGCAATCGGTCGTCTATGTTGGCGCAGTGCCAGCGTAGGTCGATCAAGTAGCCGATCAAGTTATTAACAAACGTGGACGAGTTTGCCCTGAGTGACGACGACACGCAGTCGTCAAAGCGGACTGAGGGTGTCATATACTGCCGATGCGCCGCCCATATGCAATCCGGCGCGGTCGAACGACATACACCCACTAGTGTACGCTCGAAAGCAATGAAGAAAAGTGATTTTTTGCCACCGCCCCCCCTATGTAGTCTTTCACTGCCAGTGACAGCGGCTTACGCTGGTATAAGCCCCCCCCCATCATCCTCCCCTAGAGCATGAGCGCACGGATTCCACGAAGCCTCAATTTTATCTGTAAAACGAGGGTACATCATCGTTGTGCAGTCACAGCACGAGGACTTACTTGGTCCCGAGGAACTTATTTGCGATCTTTTTTTTTTTCTCCGCTCTGGGAAAAGCTGGAACGATGCTGAGTTGCAAGGCAGGCTGTTGGTGAAACAGAGGGGTTCTCATGATGATTTTTCCCTTTTCATGAACGCAGCAAAATTTCGGAAACATCTGGTAAGGTCACACTCACGGTGTGAGCGGGATTCGTACCAAGGCCATACTTCTTTTTGAGGGGGAGGGGGGAGGGTCGTACTGACACCGCCATTTTACACACCCTGATGACGTACTGTGATCTCAGAGGGCGCCTGGACAGCTGCCTTTCAGTACCCAAGCAATAGTTCGCACTATACGATGATGTGCCCTGTTCTCAACGGACAACGGAAAATTACGCAGTTGCTTCAGATTCATGCAAATACTGCAGCTTTCTGAGGCGATGGACGACTTAGTCAAGACGATGAAGGAGAGCTAAAGTAAGAGTGTAGAGGCTAGGAATTTTTAAAGGCCTTCAAGAGGCGGAACAGTTCTAGAACCATTTACTTACTACTTGTTTAAAATTTTAAAAACAATTTTCCGTGAACCGTAAGATGAGAGGGGTAATACTGATGCACAATAATTTTTACTTTTTGATCTTCCGAGTATCGAGAGATCACAGTTCTCACACGAACTTATAGGCATAAAGTACAACAACGTGGAATCTTTTGCACAACTGGTTAATTTAGTAGGGTTTGTTGATTCAATGACGGGTGTATAACCACAGCTATGTAAACACCAAAGGCGAAACAATGTGTACATGAAACTGAAGAAAAACAAGGTTATCTCTCTAATACATATCAAAATCGTCCATGATTTCATCAGCCAACGCCAACTCTTCCTCTTCACGTCGCCTTTGCTCTTCCTCCATGGCTTTCCTTCGAGCTAACTCCGCTGATTCCATCAAATCAATTTCAGCTTCATTAGGGGTGTCACCATGTGCAAGTTGAGTTGTTGCTGAAGTTGATGACGACTTCTCAGCAGTCATCCCTTCATTAGGTTTGCCTGAAATACTCCAAAGTGTGCATTTGCATCCGAGTGAGGAGACCTGTGGAGACAAACGAAATGAGGAACCTTTCGAGAATGTCGACTCAAGCGGATCATAGTAGTTTTCATCATCACTGTCATCCCTTCCAGATCGAGCATCATCTTCATTATTCTCTGTTTGTATAATCTAAAGTAGAAAACACTATGGGAAAACTTGGAGAAGAGTTCTGAAAAAATTACTGGAAAAATTATCAAAGTTAGTGGAGCTAATTTGAGCACTACTAGGAAAACAATTTCAGGACAAAACTTACATCATCGCCTTTTTGTCGTCGAATTGGTGCAAAGTCCTCGTCGGTGAGAGGCATTCCAAGTCGAGATTTCATCATGTAAACCTTTAACAAAGGCAATAAAATTTGCGGAGTTACTGTAACGTACCGGACCATTTGTTTCCACGAACCACTTGAACTTGCAAAACGAGGGTTTTTATGTGAAAGTTACATTTCCACGTATTCCACTTCTTTTTCTAACTACATCGGCGCCCTATATCCTGGAAATGGAGTGGGCGTGGCTGCCTATTTCACTGGAGACATCAGCAGAAGAGAGAATGACGATGTACCGAATGAAAAATGCCCGGGAATTACGAATCCCGCGCCATGCCCAAATGAGGTGCCCGGGCACGGCTAATGCCGTTCGGACGCGCTGACTTTTGGCTGCGAGCTCATTTGTCAAGTGCCTAGATCACCAAATCTGCTGAAAGTCGCAGAGGAATTATTTAACATCCTGATTGCGAATATAACATTCATTTTTGGTGCTGGTGCTGAGGAAGGGCGCTTACGATTACTTTCCGGGCTCACCCTTAGCAGGATGCGGATGATCGTAGTGTCCCCCATTAGCGCCAGCGCCAAGAATGAATGTCATATTCGTAATCAGGATGTTAAATAACCCCTGTATACAAGTTTTCAGCGGATTTGGTGATCTAGGCACTTTATAAATGAGCCCGCAGCCAAAAGTCAGCGCGTCCGAACGGCATCAGTCCCGGGCACGTCCTCCCTACCTACGCATAGATTACGTGCCACCACGGAGCCCCGTGTTTTACAGTACATAAATGTCAACTGACAGGGTGCGTCAAGGAGGCTGAAACGCAGCAGCGGCCACATATTTTAGGCGGCGTTCATACTTTGCGACTGAGGAAACGAGGAATTTCTCTGAGGAATTTCGGCGATTTGGGAACTCGGAAGTTCGATGTAACAGCGTAACAAGATGTAGGTGTCGATCTCGCAGTTTGGAAGAGCCGGGGAACCGACGCTACATTGCCGAGTCTCGCCAATCGCTAGCAAACAGTGCTGATTCATACTCCTACCATATTCCCATCCGCCTACTTGGCGCGCGATCGCCCGAAACGCCGGGTCTCAGAAATCACGGAACCTCTATCTCCCAAAACGCCGAGTCGCCGATCCCCAACATCGAGACCGATACCTATACTTTTCTCGTCGCGCAGCCTCTCGAGTTGCCCAATCCTGTCGGTTACAAGGTATGAACGGGCCTCATCAGTTGGTGATGGTCCGGCCCTCAATCATGGGTAGAAAATACGGTCGCCGCTAGACTCCAGTTTAGCCTCCACTGACAAGTCTGATCGCTCGCCGTATTCTATATTCGCACTGCAAGTATAATGCAGTTGCGCCATACTCGCAGTTGCAGAAGAAAAAAAACTAATGGAGGCAAACCTTAATAGCTCGTTTATCGCCCAGAGCTTCACATTTGCTGATGACATCCTCGAATTTCAGCTTGGGAAACATTACATGAGCCCAGTGTTGGTATTTTTTCATCATCACAGCGAGATTCTCATACTAAAAAAACATCAATGAATGCGGTCTCAGTTCAGTACTCTTAAAAAACTATAGCACCGGGTCCTTCTTAGTGTTCGGTTTGAAGCTCTTGAAAGACTCCAGGAGGGCCGGGACTCCCTTCGGGCCTGTAAGGGTGGCCTCGTTTAGTTTTGGCTGTGGTCTAGAATCAAGCCATTTTACAGTGTGAATTTCACAAAAGATATTCAAATATGCCTACCGGGCTTTCGCACGCTTTTTCACAACTTCTTGATTTTCTTTTTCCAAGAGGTTATTTAACACTTGATCACTTGTAGGTTCTGAAACGGAATGGAGTTAGCCACTCATTTCATTAATGATCTCAGCAAATTAAAGGAAAGGACAATGGAAATACCTAAATGACTTTAAAAAATGAAATCATCACAAGAAAAGTCTCACCTGCGCCGTCTTCATCCGGCTCGTTATCAGACAAGTCGTTACCGAAGAAATCGTTGATCTCATCAAACTCGTCGTCCATATTTCTTAACTTTGAATGTAAATGAGATCAAAACTTTAGCGCATACAACTTATTAGTAGAACACAAATCAAGAAATAATTGTTCGCGCCTTTTTTACCGGTAAAGGGCTAATTCACCGTGGTCCACATTATTGTTGCCTCCTTCGGCGGAAAGGTTCTGTTTATGGTTCTCTTCTTTTCCTTTTCTCTTCATACTTCTCCCGGCCTTCTATTGCCTTCTTTTGACAATCAAGGTGTGGGAGTAGAATCAACCGAATTTTTTCACTGTTACGGGGATAATCAAGTCCTTTGTCTTGGAAGAAGACTGCTTTATCAGTTCAGTCCTGCAAATCAATTTTTCTGATGAGAACGAGAATTCTTGGAAAGAGTGTTTCATGACCAGCTCTCAATAGCATTCCATTCATCAGGCAATTGCAGAACTATGAAGAGAGTTTAATCACTGAAAAGTGACGAAAAGTACGAAGCAAGTGAGCACGGTTTTCCCCAATCCAGGCGCTATTTTCAGTCGTTAGTGCTTATTTTCAATAATCAACCGTGTTCTGATTGTCCTTTTTGCAATGATTACCTTAAAGGATGATTCTGTAATGGTATCGATTCACCCTAGGAGATTATAGGTCGTGACAAGTCGCGCGACGTAAAATCGTAAAAATGACCCCATTAATCCGAAACTTTTCATTTCATTTGCAAAATGTTTGTATTGAATTGCTTGGGTAGTAGTTTCAATGATCATTTGCCGATTGTTCTTTAGTATTTGCAAAGGGTTGTGAGTTGGGCGCTGGCGCTCTTTCGACCGCCGAGCATCCCATCAATATGTTCGTCACTTTACATTCATGCGCTCTCAGCTCACCATTCTTTGACTCATGGGTGATCCCTGTGACCGCCCGTGAGCCTCCTCTTTCCCTTTTAATACATTTGAGTTCTGAATCTGTGTCGGGCAGTGTCTGGTGCAAAGCAGAAGGTCACCAGTACTTTTTGCTTACGAATCTGAACTTTGGTCTTAATAGTGACAGCAGGGCACGCCATCGCTTCTGATAAATTCCTGAAGAATACGGCCCCCTAATTCCATTGCCTGATATGACCCCCTTCCCATCCTACCTACCACTTTCCTAGATTTTCCCAACTTCCTACCACTTTTCCAGTTTTTTCAGCATTTCCCGAGAATTTTCCAGTACTTCCTCTCAAGATTTTGCTGTCGTGGGTATATAACACTAGTGAAATAGAAAAAAACCGCAGAAAGTCAACAACCGGGAAATCAAAGACAAATACGACCCCTACCCTCCCAACAACGAGCAAACACGACCTCCCTTTAAAGCGTCCGTGAAACAAGAAAAATCAACTATCAAAAAAATTTTTCTTAACCAAATACGACCCGCCCCTCCCTCGCGGTCAAATACGACCCCCCCCCCCTCCGGCCTCTGTCCTTCCTCATCGAATCGAGCCGTCGAGCGGGGGGTATATAGTACGCATGAAACAGGAAAATCACGAAAAGTCAACCACCACTCCCACCACTCCTAGAAAGGCCAGAAAGTAAATACGACCCCCCCCCCCCCAGAGTGACCAAGCACGACCCCCTCTACAACATCCGTGAAGCGAGAAGAATCAATTATCAAAATAAATTTTTCCCAGATCCCCTCCTAGCGGCCAAATACGACCCCCCTCCCCCATTGAGGAATCCCAGCAACGATGTGCCCTGCGCCGCCAATTAGGGGAAGTGATATAGCACGTGTGGAACGAGAAAAACTGCGAAATGTCAGCAACCGGAAGAAAGTTCCTCAGGCCCAGATACAACTCCCACTCGAAGCCACGAGCGATTGTGACCCCTACAAATCCCTCTCTCCAGCCACGAAATACGACCCCTCGCTGGGATCTACAGCGTACGACCTGCCTGATATCTACTGGGGCTTGCTTATCAGTTTCAACCCATAAAGACCGAGTTTAGCTGGGACCTCCAGGTGAACGGAAATGGGGGACCTCCACGATCCACCATTTCACAGGTTGATTCATTGTTGATGAATATTTTTGTCCACGATGTGCTATAAAACGTTTTCGGCGACATCGTAATAGAATGTCATGCCATTTCAATTGATGGGAGTGATTGACTGTCAACTACTGTAGCCTCTAGCCTCGACGAATCTCCCCCTCTTGATATTTCTATTGATATTTTCTGGCTGTTTTGTGGCGTCCGTTATCTTTCGATTTTTTTTTGTAAACACTGTTGGCCGATTGCTTGACAGAACACCCTCGATAACGACGTGCGTAACCAAAAGCATTCTCGGTCTCAGTGGTTACTTTGCTCTTAGAGTCTCTCACATCTACTTCTATTGCACTGAGCGTTTGCCGACTTCTCGATTCCGGATTCAGTCGTGTCCAACTGTGGGCGAACAGATCAAGTTCTCCCGTTGTTGGAAAACCTCAAGAGCCTTTTTTCCTAAGAGCAACGCCCCCCCCCCCTCCCCCCTCCGCCTCGTGGAAATTCTCAACGTTCAACGTGCCTTGGGAGTTACACAAAATATGACCCTTTTCTCCCACTGCGAAGCGTTTTTTTTTCGTGATAGCGTTCGTAAAAGTGATTGATGTCATGTTAATCGCCATGATAAAAGTATTCAAGGCTGCGACTTTTTATTTAGCTTGCGGTCACAACGGTTCGCGTTCTTTGGAGCTTGAGAAGACGAGTAACAGTGGATCAACTTCCAAGTACTTCCCGAATTTTCAAGCCTCAAAGGAGAAGCGAAGAAGCAAAATCCTGAAGAAGCATTGCGTGGTCACAAATTGTGCGCGGAGTTCTGGGCCTAATACACCTATTAATGAATAAGAGAGCAGACCAGCTTGTGCCCCAAAAAAGGAAGCACTGAAGTACTTACGATCTGTAATCGCGCGAAGTCTTTAAGTTTCAGCTTATCGTTTCTCCTCGAAGCCTGAAGAGTAACAATTGAAAGTTAAGGCCCTAGCATTGGACGAGCATCTCATTGAAGCGAGACACTGCTGTGTGGCCGAGAAACTTGAGACAAAGAATGCGAGAACAGAAAGACGAACGAAGGAAAGGCCAGCGACCGGGAATATTTTCATTTCGCCGGGAAAATTCCTGTTACAACCAGGCAGAACCTCCACCGACCAAAGCCGACCAAATATATGATCTCTCCCTACCTCCCGCATGCGATACTCTTTACATAGCACACGTGAGACGGGAGAAAGGAACAATCATAAACTTTTTTTGGATGGAATACGACCCCTTCCTCCGGCGTTAAGAAACGTCCCTTATGAGATTCTCCCAACGATGCTGTATCCCGCCACCACTACAATAGCATTGGGATCCCACCTATCAGGTGATCGCGGGATCTGCGTTCAAGCTGAGTAGAGCGCTATACTTTCAGATATGCTCATCGAAACACTATACATATACGAGCATGTCCAGGAGTTGTATTGCCGTTAGGGAGAAGTTTTGCTAAATACGACCTCCCCCTTCCCAATCTCTAATCTCCCATCTTCCTCAATTCTCTCAACTTCCTGCAATTGTTCCAGAGTTTTTTCCCCAAAAGTCTCCAGTTCTTCCCTGAAAAAGTGCCGTCCGGCGGAAGGAGGGGTGTACATAGCGCACGTGGAACGGGAAAAGAACAGTAAAGTCAACATCCGAGAACAGTAAAACGGTTTCACACAGAACACCCTTTCCTCCTTCCAGCGACCAAACACGACCCTTCCACCCTCTTCTCCAGAATCCCCAACGTACCACGCGCCATGACCATGTCAAGGTTTAGAGAGAGTCAGTCTCCAGGATGAAATTAGAACGGTGAATGATCGTAAGCGAGAAAGTTCAGCGAATATTGAGTCTTGTGCATGGTTCCTAACATATCACTGTTGAATCCATACAATTTTCCATACAAAATTTGCAACTGCTTATTGTTAGACTGTGGGCACGTGGTTAACGCCGTTAATCATTGTGTTTCTTGATGTTTTCGTGTGAGCAGATGCAGTAATGAGTTACCATTAATAAATTATTACAGCACTTGAATGGTGCGTGAATTTTAGCATTCTTATCGAGAAATGGGTTGGACCGTCTGGATAGCATTATTACTTTTTTGTCTGCTATCAGTCTGCTTAACCTGACGCCGGTGTCCCCTCCGTCGTGCATATCTTCCCCTTTCTGTGTTTTCTTTACGTTGAGTGGAATCTTTCATTCCCTTATCACTTGCTATCGGTCTCTCTTATTCAAAAATTCTTTCCAGATTTTGTAGTATCATTAGCTGTAATGTGTAATATTATCAATGATGCTACAAGTTTTCTTTGCTCTACTAGAAGTGTATATAGTTGGCGCCTCACTTACAAGGGAGGTCTTTCAGGTCGTGGCGCGCTTTTTAAAAATGGTTTGTTGCTTGTTGTAGGGGTCCATACAAGGATTACAAAAATGGGTTTCATTTTTGCTATGCGTTTCTGGGGAGGTCAAAAACTGAGTGAAAACAATTTGACAAGAAAGGGCGATTTTAACCGTCTTATTGGGCTCTGTTGTAGCTGTAACTTTGAGAGTGCATAGTTTATGAGGTGTTCCTTCACTATGTATAAAGAGAGCAAAATAAAGTCAAAAAGAAAGTGCATGGAGAAAAGTAGTACCAAAGTAACTTCAACG